TTCTGGAACATCATGCCGTGAAACTGCCGTATTCCTTGAACCGCAGTAATACCCATTTGATCATTTGGTGGTCTTAAAATGAAAGTAAAAATTCATCCAAAATTTGTATCTTACGGCTGCCTTTGGCTGTACTCCAACTTGAAATAACACCCATTCAGTAACTAATGAATCTTGAAGGCATTAGATATGGCTCCCAGAACATCATGCCAAAGTTATAGCTGAGGTTTTTATCCACCCCTGTCCTGCTAACCAGCTTCCATGCACATGTCCAGCTTGAATCTGCCCTTTGGATCCTTTTGGCAACAAAAGGGAACCCTGGTATAGAGTATAGACCTCTACACCCACGACTGATTAAAACAAATTTGGGTTACTGAACAGAAACCCCTATATTGGGTGAACCTGAAGAAATAAACGGCTCAATCTGCCAATCGCGATCTCCAGTCTGCATTTAAATTTGGGCCCAAGGATGTTTTGCCTGCTTCGCACCATGTAGGATGACGTCTCCCAGTGCGGCCGCGATATTTGTTTTTCCAGATGTGAGTGATGCTGCTATAGCTGCACGTACCATCAAAGCCTTCATTTCAAGTAAAAAAAATGTTCAGGTTTATGATGTTTATTGCTGTCGAAGGGATAATTATGTGGACATATACTATTGAATGTTACCTGCTGTCTGTTGCAAATGTTTCAAACCAATATAGCTCACAATATCTCACAATAACGCTTCTTCCGTCTGCCTCTTGCAGGGCCTAGCGAGATTTGCTGCTGAAATCTGATGACATTATGTTGCTTGGGGATTGTCGAAGACTCTGGGTTTCTCCCCAAAATATACCCAGCTTTTTATGGAGGAGACGATTCTGTAAATCACGGATTCAGGGTCATTTCCCTGTGTTCAAACAAACCCGCATGTGTAAGTAAGAAGTTGAATTGTCTTAGAAACGAAGGCCGAAATTGAGTTACATATAGAAAACCGACCATGGTAAATGAATGACTGTCCATATCCAAACCAATGGCTTGTCCATATCTATGTCAATTTCATGAAGGCATCTGAAGGCTAGTTACATATTCCCAGTATAGTCCCATTGCGCTCCTTAGATTCTATTATTCGTTTGCTTTGGAACTGTCATGGTTAAACATGTTCACACCTTTCTTGATCATTTTTCGCAGTGCTTGATTGCTTGATGAATTTTGCACAAGATGATAAGCCCGTAGATGTTCCTTCGACTATATTCCCATAATGTTCTTCGGCTACAGCACTGCATCTACTCCTAGTATCTTCTATAGATATAGTATTGGTTGAAAACCATGGAAAACCTCCTTTGTCGTCTTCGATTGTATTCCCATGATAGTCCGTTAAAAACCGATCTATAGCTTTGTATCCTAACATGGCTTATGGTAACATGTTGTAACGATGTAGGCGTAAATCTCACTTGGATGCATCCCCGAATTCCCAATTGTATTCCCAATACGTTCTTGACTTTATTTACCCACATATATATTGTTGTAAAAAACAAGTACACTTTCTCTTATCCGAGTCTGTTCCATTGGTTAAATCATGTTTAAAATGATTTCCAAATAGTTTTTTGCTATTTCATCATTTCATCGTATATCCTCAATGCTTTCTCGGGTTTTAGGGCACATTCCTATTCCTAAATATTTTATGGATATTCCAACAGTTCTCTTATTTTTCATGAACATTTCAGGGTTTTTCCATACAGGATGGTGCCCCCCAGTTATAAGTTGGTTTATAAACCCCATTAACTAGTTAGTTACAGTACTTATATCTACCATAAACCCTAGTGAAATTGGAGTTATAAACCAACTTATAGCTATCATAAATCAGCTATATCAGCTATGAATACCACGAAATCACCATTTTTCTATGGTTAAATCACCATTTTTCGATGGTTTCCATTGTTGTGTTGTCCTGGTAGGTCCTGCTGAAATTTTCCATGGGAAAATCACATTCTGAATGCTGGGACTCCGGGCAGGTGACCTCTCGCAGGTCCATCTGAAGGATCTACCGCGGCGGCTCTAAAAACCACGGGAAAATGGTGGTTCTTCCATAACCCATAGGATCCATGTATGGTATATATGCTAACATAAAGGGGGTATATTGATGGGATCCATGTTACAATATATAGCATACATGGATCCTATGGGTAATAGATCCCAAAATGAAAGGATTAACCATGGAGTTAACCATGGGAAAATGGTGAAATTTAAGCAGCAACAATATCTGGTTGGTGGTTGAGCTACCCCCCTGAAAAAATATGAAAGTCAGATTGGATCATCATCCCAACTATTGGGGAAAATAACAAATGTTCCAAACCACCAGCCAGATAGATATTTTAATAGATATGATGTGATAATACCATTATAGATGAATGATCTACAATATAGTGAGAATGATCTATAATATAATGGCTGGTTGGTGGTTGAGCCACCCCTCTGAAAAATATGAATTCGTCAGTTGGGATGATGACATTCCCAACTAGATGGAAAAATAAAAAAAGGTTCCAAACCACCAACCAGAATCACCAACTAAAATGATGGTCTGAGCAAGACACATATGATTTGACCAAGAAAAAATTGGAATTCATTGGATTTTTGGATTTATAGCCATTGTCCCAGTGATTTAACCAAGAAAAATTGGATTTCATGGGATATCCAAATCAAAATTTATGGTGCCAGTGTTCAGGACGCCCCTGTCTGTGCGTCTGTTTGTGACAGCTCTTGGGGATGCAGGCAGACATGATTACCCAGCCACTTGCGCGTGTCTTAGACACAAAAACACAACCCCCTCCAAACAAAAAAACAGAATAGAAATGTCACCATCTCCAGGCACATCAATTTTTCTTCATTCAGCGACACCATCTTCAGGATCAACCCTTGCGGCCTGACACTCAGACACATCCAAAATAGAAAACAACCACCCCCTGTGCTCCCGACGCATTGGCTCTCAGTGACCATGGTGGCAGCGTCCACGATGTCCGACAAGGGTTCCCCAATCGCCTGGCAGTAGTGACATCCAAAGTGTCTTGATATGCTTGACGTGGCATTTTGAAGATGTGTGCATATATATATATATATACACGACTTAAAAAAATGATACTATATATAGGGACATATGCAAATTCAAATCAACATGATATAGTTAAATATGTGCTTCCCTAGAATCTGTGGTGTTTCACCATATTCATCAATTTTCATGCTGTTCATCCGAAGTGTTTATTAAAACATGGCCGTTTAAAAATGTTCCCCAGTGGTTAGATTTTACCTTTTTGTGGATTACCTACCCTCTGGTAATGACTAACATGGCCAACTGGAAAATCCATTATAAATGGAGGTTTTATTGGGAAAATCATCCGTAAATTGTCCATTTTCCATAGCTATGTTCAATTACCAGAGGGTAAGAAGAACATGTTCTAAACCACTTTTTGCTCGTCCGAAACTGGAGTGTAGCAGGCTTAGCCAATTTCCATGATGGCCCATGATGGTCGATCCCCGGTTTTTGGAGCACCGAGAAAAGCCAGTCTCTGATTTTAGGGTGACCATGGTGTGTATTTACATTCATGGTAACATATATGTACAACATGTTATGTACATACATATCTGGTTGGCGGTTGAGCCATCCCTCTGACAAATATGACTCCGTCAGTTGGGATGATTACATTCCATATATATGGAAAGTCATAAAATTCAATGGTTCCAAACCACCAACCAAATGTATTGCTATTCCAATGATTAACCATTATTAACCATAAATTAACCATAGAATAACCATAGATTAACCAGGAAAATTCCATGGTTCCAGTCACCACCAACCAGATATATACTTTAGACATGATGATAAGCCATGGAATTCCTGGATTCCTATCCATGTTCTTTGAAAAGATATCCATAGTGCACCCAACTTCAATACCAACAATGAAAACAACAACATGTACTAGGCTCTATACTTGTGTCTGTTTCTTCTTCTTCTTCTTCTTCATCATCATCATCAGCGATGGCGGCGTCAGCAGCGACATCTTTTCATTACTACTGTAACTATCATCATAATAATTGTCAGTACATATCTTGAAATTGTTTGTGATTGTCTCAGAGTAAAAGAAACGAAGCATAGCTGCAACAATACTGCAGGTTCCCAAACATGGTTGATGCAGAGAGTTCAAATAAACGATATGTTTCAAAACAATAACCATCTTCAGATATATTCAGCATTTCATGGTATAGTAATGTCATGCCCAAATTCTAGGGTCCAAATTTATCCAACATTGCCATGAATTCCAAGAAACAATAGAATCAAAACATCTAAATCATCTACAGCAATTCTTGCTACAGGAATGTCATACCCAAATTCCAGGGTCCAAATCTATCCAACATTGCCATTTCAAGCCCCAATGAAACCATGGCGACATCCCAGGTTGTTTCATGGGCAAAGCCATCACCCCCGAAGGGCTGTGACACCTCCATGTTGGTGGTTGAGCCACCCTCTGATTGGAAATATAGAGTTATGATCATCAATGATAATTAATGATAATTATATTGGTCATCTATGATTGTCATGATCAATAGATATTATATCACTATATTTCAATAGGAATATTTACCAATATTAATGATATTCACTAGCTGGTTGGTGGTTGAACCAACCCTCTGAAAAATATGACTTCGTCAGTTGGGATGATGACATTGCCAATATATTATGGAAACATAAAATTCCATGGTTCCAAACCACCAACCAAGTCTCTTCTTTATCCAGGGAAATCTTTTTTGGCATTTTTTGCACACTTTGTTTTAAGTTTTCCTGAAGCTTGAAGCTTGGCTGTACCCCAATCCCATCCCCTTGATATTAAACACCCCCATTCCATGGTCGAACCATTATGTGGTAATCCCCTGCTAAACCATGGCTTCGTGGGGGTGTGTAATATTACCAGGAGGGGATTCAAGGAAACCATACCCAAATTCCAGTGTCCCCAAAAAGCCATCACTGAAAATTCCTAGGCGACCCGCACCAGCTCAGCCACGGGAGAAAGGTCGAACCCACGCACGTGGCGCCAGAACCCAAGCCTATGACAAACTGGGGTGACCAATGTTCAACCCAAGACACATGGATGGATCAGGGAAATTATGGAATAATTGTGGATCAGTACAAAATCAGACATACGATGTGAACAGCAATTTCCAATATGATACCCTTGGAGGGAAACATGCTAACATATTTCAAAAAACATGCCTACCCTCTGGTAAACTAACATAGCTATGGAAAATCACCTTGTTTAATGAGTAAATCAACAAACTAAATGGCAAGTTTCAATAGTTTTTTGTATGTTTACCAGAGGGTAAACTTCCTAAGCCCTAACCGAGTTTTTTTTGAGGATTTCCCTCCTCCCATCGACTCGAACAAGGCCACCACAAGGATTTGGTCTGAAACCTATGGTCTATCCGGGTAACCACCAACGCTATGGTGGGAAAAAAATGTCTTGGGATTTCAGCATGAATAACTTAAGTATAGATAATAATAATGGAATATAACTTCATAATAATGAACAACCTCTACAACCATAGATTTTACCAATGAATAATTTCAAATTCAAATTTATCTCGACAATGTGTGACCATGGAGTCGATAGCTTCTGCGAATGGGTGAAACGAAACCTACTTACACATCTTACTCTATGGGGGCCCCATGTTGTAATGATAAAAATTACTTTACTTCGTGTGATCCCCACCATGACATTTATCGATTTGTTACTGGCAAAGCTTCTGGCATTCTATCTGACATATCTTCTGGCATTCTATCTGGCATATCTTCTGGCATTCTACCTGGCATATGTTCTGGCATATCTTCTGGCATTCTATCTGGCATTCTATCTGGCATATCTTCTGGAATATCTTCTGACATCCTATCTGGCATTCTATCTGGCAAACCTTCTGGCATTCTATCTGGCACTTTATCTGGCATACCTTCTGGCATTCTATCTGACATTCTATCTGGCATACCTTCTGGCATTCTATCTGGCATATTTTCTGGCATATGTTCTGGCATATCTTCTGGCATTCTATCTGGCATAGCTTCTGGCATTTTATCTGGCATATCTTCTGGCATTCTATCTGACATGCTATCTGGCGTTCTATCTGGCATATCTTCTGGCATTCTATCAGCGGTGCTCACTGAGCTCGGAAGGTCCCAGATTCAGGTCCAGCGGTGCTCACTGAGCTCGGAGGGTCTCAGGTTGAGGTCCAGCGGTGCTCACTGAGCTCGGACGGTCCCAGGTTGAGGTCCAGCGGTGCTCACTGAGCTCGGAAGGTCCAGGTTGAGGTCCAGCGGTGCCCAGTGCGCTCAGACCCTTGCAGTTGAGGTCCAGCAGTGCCCACTGCGTGCGGAAGTTGGCGAAGAGCTTGGCGAAGAGTTGGCCAGGCGGAAGTGAACATGGAAGTGGAGGCAGAGGTGGTGGAGGAGAAGGAGGAGGAGGAGAAGAAGGAGAAGGAGAAGAACAACTCTGATAAAATCTAACAAGCCTCACCTGGCAGGTGGGGAACAAAGAACATGCTGGATAGAAAAAAACACATATGTGTGTATGTATATATATATACTGGGATGCTGACAAAATATTTTTGACAAACCACCGTGAAAATCACTTGGAGCATCAAGTCACTTAGTAAGCCCCCAATTACTGGATTATACGATTAGTATAACTGGGTGAACCCAAAAACAAACACTCACCAGTTACGAACCCTGGGAAGATCCTCCACCATGAATCCATCACCATCAAATGAGGTCACTCTAGATATGGTCCCACATCGAGGTTCATTCTATAGATTTCAAGACACATCTCAGACACCGTCAACGTCACCAATTAATAGTAATCCATCAGTTTCGGATTCCGAAACTGAAGAAATGATGCGGTCAAAGCACTTCTCCTCTTTGTAGTCCGCATCTTCGATGCCCGCCATATAAAGCCGCGCATGGTCTGGAAACATCTGCCCTCCTCAGGTGCAGGATGCCCCGAGGGGCAATCAAGTATATGCCTGGGAAGTCCCCATCGAAAATGGAGGGTTGTGAGGTTTATGGGCTTTATAGTTGGGAAAGTCACCAGGGTATATAAATATATATATATGGGTATAAATATATATATATATAGCTGGGGGATGTTCCAGCAATGCTTGATTTCCGAGGAGTAGGCCACCTTTGGATGGTTCCTTCCATTCTCACCATCATCTACACTCCAGTAATATGGAAAACCAACTGTCGATTGTTTTCGTTGGGAACCATAGAAAGTCGGAAATGTCCCAAAATGGGGACACCTCCACCTGATCCAAGTCAACCATTTCACATCATTTCACTCTTTTTCAACCCATGGTGACTGGGACTCCCCAATTTTTCGAAACATCCCCATCTCCGGCCGTGAATTTAGCCCAGTGGTGAGGTCGGAGATGGGGGTTATCAAGGAACCGGTGCTTGGCAGGTGACATTCAGAATACCCTCTGGTAATTTGTCACAGTTTGCGAACTGGAAAATCACCATTTCTAATGGGTAAATCATGGGTAAATCCACTATTTCAATGGTCATTTTCAAGTTCGCAAACTGTTAGCGGAACCAAAGGGTAGGGGAAAGGGATTCATTATGATTCATTTCGGCCCAGCTGATTGGTGGCAGCCATGTGGCAGCCATGTGGCAGCCACGTCATTGGGGATCACCATCCCATTGCTATGCTTGAAAGCAAACATCAAACCAGCAAGGGTCAATCCTATTTTAGCTTTAGCAGGAATCCCCTTTTCCTATCGGATATCGGGTGCTGCAATCTTTACCAAACTATCCCCAATAAAATCCCAGTATAGCAAGAGGTTTGTTGGTGAAATTAACAATCCAGTGATTGCTCCGTTTGATTACTCACTATGTCTGTCTTTGTTTCTACCGGGGTTGGAATTTAGGGGGGTAGGCTGCCCGGCCCCCTTTTGTAGCTACAAACCATACACTCTGATACATGGAATCTACAAAATGATTCTCGTAGGTGGTTGAATTTCTACGTTTCTAGGGGTGGTAGCTATGCTACAAAAATTGAGAAATCAGGCCCAGCTTGAGCTTCAATTCGTGGGTCTTCCTGCTCGACTTAAACACCAAATTGCCAGCAATTAGATTCACGAATGCCCCACCAATCTTGTGTAGAAGCAGAAGCACTTTTTCCATGTTTTTCCTCTCTGCCTCTCTCTGTCTTTGGGCTGGTGCAGGTTGACCGAAGACTTTCGCAAGCATATCTCTCAACAAAACAGTTCACACATACTACAAAACTCTGGGGCCCATCAATCCTACAAATATCAGAGTCCACCTATCCTACAGCCCAGCCCAACGGAAATTTATCAAGGGTTATTTTATCACAGCCAATTTTCTGCATCCAATTGATGGAATCACGATGAAACGCTGTTTTTTCCCCTACAAATGTAGGGAGCCGATTCAGAATCATAGGATACAAAATAAAGTCGCTTAAAAAAGGTCGGTAGGTATCATACCTCACCGTTTTGTAGAGGAAATCGGAGACCCAACGATTCATTGCTGGTGTTAGATCGCCATTTGTCCCATGTTTGGTCTCTTGATTCCATCCCTATCTTTCATGGTTAGAAAAAAAAACGTCAATATACCCCCTGGTAAACTAACAGTTTGCTATTGAAAATGGCCATTTATAGTGGATTTTCCCATTAAAACATGTGATTTTCAATAGCTATGCTAGTTTACCAGAGGGTAATATCCATTAATATCGCACATTTTCCACTAAACAAACCATCCTCTTTGCCATTCCAAGCAGGATCTGCAGCGCTTTCCCCCGTCTCCTGGTCTCAGCCACTTATCCCGCGCGAACAGCACGCAATCCAGCATCGATTCCTGGGTGGTGGCCGGGCTACCCTCACAGTAAATTCACATAGCTGGTGGAAAATCCATGGGTTTCCCCATGGTCGACATGGTGCATCTCCCATAGCCTCCCGCTTATTACCAGAGGGTAAGTATGAAACGTGGGAGGAAACTAATGTTAAAGATATTTGAGTCACGTCAAACAAAAATGGATATTGGCGGCAAAAAACATTGATATTTATTGAACTGTCAATCAAGACACTTGCCAACCAGCATCACTAACAACTTATCAGTTGTGGGCTAATGACGCGCTTGCGTGTGGAGGAAGTCGGATAGTCTTAGTGGAGTTCGAAGCTGAAGCCATGATAGCCCTGCTGATGGTGCAGACTTCCTTGGATATCCTACACTTTGTCACCACGCGACAGGATAGATGTGTTCATCACTTGTGGAAAGAAAAACAACGATTCACCTAGCGTTCACTCAGGTGCTTTGGTGTTTTTTGTCCATTGCGTGCCCATGAGAAAAGCCCCTTTTTTCAGACATTTCCTTCACTCCCCCCTTGCGCCCGGTGCGCCGAGCAACGAACATCAGAAAGTAACCTGGGCAGCGAGGGGATGGTAACTCACTGATATCATGATAGCTACAATGATCATTGGAAATTCCATACTATCATGGTAGCTATTCATTTCACTATAAATTTTATGTGAAAATCCTCATGTTGTTGGCAGTAACTACGAATTTCTTGGAACAATCCCAGTGATTAGACCGTTTGTGCAACCAATATGGATCTTCACCAAAGTTCAGCCATTGCTGTATCCTAAAATTCAGGGACACCTCCTACATCTACTGGTTGTGTTTTGTTTGTTTTTTTTAAACATTTTCCCTATATTACATTGCATTTAAATGAGTAAAATAAGTGAGAATCACTAAGACATCAGACTCATTTAACTAATAAGTAATATGATATTTAATTCATGTATAATAATTGCAATCACTTGGATTCAAATCATCCATTTTCAGCCACACCCCGGCACCAAAAATCCGATCATCTTACATTAATTCTTACTTGATTGTTATATCCCGTTATAATCAATTATATATGCCCATGTTAACTGTTTCCTCACTGGTTAGGGTTAAATCCCCAATTCCCCGAGGCCAGACCAATCAGATTGATCCCGAGTGTTGATGGCTAAATCACACAAAATTTGGCTCCATGTAAACCTACATTTTTCACGGGTAAAACATAGTAAAACGCCACCTTTTGACGAGAAAAGATGGGATATGTTAAAATGTTTATTTTTCGTGAAAGGAATTCTGTCGCTCATGCTCACCCGTGGAGGGAGGTAGGCTTTGCCAAGCTATTTTCGAACAGAATAAGAATCTTCAGCACGACGTTTTTAGGACCCAGCAACCCATCCATTCAGAGATGATGATGTCCACCTTTTCTACGGGAAGTTCCACTTCCTCTACCTGCGCCAGTGGGGATTCCACGAGAACAAATCACCATATTTTTCCATGGGGATACAACGGTACCGTCAATGGCCATGTCAGGTACTACTCAAAATGGAGGTACTGTACCATGTTTCAAGCCATATGTTGGGATGATAATCCCATAGGCCTTGCATAGACCTTGTGACCTTGGTAGGTACCTCAGAGCTTAGGTACCTGAAATGGCCATTGATCATGGACTTTTTCATATATATATATATTTATACATAACCAAGAATATATGATACAGTATCTTTGTGTCTGAAAATAAACTATTTTCCACCTATATATATATATATATGGCAATTTTAGGAGGACCATTTATAATAAATCAGCTGTTGTTTTTTTGAGAAACCCATGTGGATTTCACCAAGCGAAAGGATGGTTTAACCAGATACAATCGTGGGGTGCAAGGTGGGGCCCCGGCCCAGTTACGCTTGTTGGTTTAGTTTCACACCATTAACCATGGATATACATATCTATTCTATAAAACCTAGTTGTATAAGTTATAAACTTAGACAACATGAATCCGCATACAATGAAATCACAATCTTTGCATATCTTTGCTGGATACATCACAATTTTCCAATGCGTTCTCTGTCTCAAACCCCATCTTGTAGGAATCCCATTTGGGTGTGTCTGATATACCATACCCGCCGTTGGCGGCGACCATTTTTCATGGGAAAAACGCTGATCATCCATTAGAATTGGGGATAGCCAAAGCCATTGAGCCCACTCCCTTTCTGCCTTCCCTTGGATGTAGCTAATCACATCTCCAAAACCATTCTCTTCCGCAATCTTCGCTGCCTGAGGCACCAAGCTCTAGTAAGCTCTAGGTCCTCAAATGGCTGAGAAACTTAAGTCATGCTCAGGTATCTTTGGACAAACAGTCAAACACACATATCATACTCTTAGGTGTGTATATATATATATATATTATAATATAATTAAATATACATATACATATTATGTTTTATTATCCCGTTCTCTCGTTTCAACCCTTCATGACTGGGAAATCATGAACTCCCTTCTTAACAACAGCGTTTAAACTATATCATTTCGATGATTAGCCAAAACACATTTTGGCTGGGAAAGACTCCAAATTCAAGGGACTTGTTCGTACAGTATATTTTCTTTTTATCCAGGAATGTTTCAAATACGTACAATTGTTGCTGGATATTGGTGTAGAATATACCGTGAAATTTTAGACATTACATCCATATTCACTAAACATGTTTTTTGGTTAACGGTGCTTCTGAAATCTCCATTATACATTGCCCAATTCAAATATCCCACACTTAAAATGCGTCTTAATCCGTTTTTTTCTTAATCAAAATCCATTAAACATCCAATGACAAATCATAAACAATCAGATTCATGGCCATTTCCGTTAAACAATATTCTAGCGGATGGCATGATACATTCAAATATATTCAAATTATTGGAATCGATCCTCACAGTCCAAAATACATTCGAATGTTCAATCTGAAGGTCTGACGCAATCCCAGCTATCAATCTCCACCATGAATCGTTCGGGGATTTCCAAAGATCTTCAAAAAAGATTCTTCCATGATTTTCCCAGGATTTTGGGGCATTTATATACAGTAAACGCTTTTCCCTAAGATTTTTTGGGGACATTTTTGGGCAGTTCCCAGCATTTTGCCAACAAAAAAATTCAACATCTAACAGGGCATTTCCCAGTGTTTCCACCGTTTTCCCACATTTTTTTGGGGGTCTTCTCCTGCAAGGTGGTGCCCCATAGTTCGCAAAGTTGGTGCAAATAACTCCCATCACTATGGTTTATCGTAGATATAACATAATATAACTATAGTTAATTAATGGTTTCTAAACCAACTATAACTGGGGGCACCATCCTTCACTGGGATCCACACCTTCTGCGCCACGTCGGAGCGTTCGATGCCGATGACTTTGGCTGCACCCGCTTGAGCGGCGAAGAGGCACAGAATGCCGGTGCCTACCCCGCGTTTCGACGCTGGGGGCAACGAGAAAGCATTGCAAAACCATAGAAAAGTGATGATATAATAAGCAGCAAAATTTATGTTTTTTAGGTTTAACCAGGGAAATTGGTGATTTCATGGTGATTTAACCAAGAAAATTGAGTTTAATCAACAAAAAATGGGATATCACCAACACAAATTGTGATCTAATGGTGATTTAACCAACGAACATGGGGATTTCATGGGATTTATAGAGGCAACGGTTGACCGGGGCAGCACAAAGAAGGCGTTGCTCCAGCCGCAGCTGAGACTCATACGTTGTGCCCAGAGTGGGTTTCAACACGCGCCCAGCAGGACTGCCTTGCTGTTGAGGGCTTGGCTGCTGAGGGCGTTCGTAACGATCTCATGAGTGACTACTCTCTTCAGCTCCATTGGAGCCTGAGCCCCCCTGGCCAGCCCTGCTGAGTATGCCTTGCCCATGCTGTCTGCAAACCGGTCAGCCAGTAAATAGTGCAGCAATGAACAGCTGCTGCACACCAGTGTTGTCAAGTTCAGACGGGTCCCTGACTGGACCACGCACCCAGCCGCGTGCCATCGGCTGTTGATTGATGTTAGCTAAGTTGGGGCAAATAGCTCCAATTCCACTGGGATGTGGGATAGATATATTGAACTCATTACTATGGTCTATAAACCAACTTATGACTGCGGGACACCACCGTGTGGGTAAAAAGATGTTCCCTCAAAAGTGGAGGTTCAGATGTGATTTATGGTGGCTAATTTGTTCTTTTTCAACACTATGTTGATTGTTGGGCTTATGGTAGATATATCTATAGTTCATGGGGTTTAAAACAATCATAGCCCATTGAATAGGGATAGAATAGGGAGGGAAACTTATAATTGTGACTAACCATAGTGAAAAGCAAGTTACTTATATAAACTTATATATGGATTGTATGGTAAATGGTCAACGCTTATCCCAAAGTGAGAAGTTAAAAAAAAATATTCTTACTATTCAGTTAACAAATTTACATACGGGATAATCCACGGTTTTGATAAAAACGAACCAGGCTAGTGAACACCAGTTCACTGGGTAAAAAAAATGTGTTTATAGTTTTGGTGAATTTTCACAAAAACTCTACGAATGGTACGACCATCCCCAAATATGTGTATTTATGTGTATTTAATATCAACCAACCGGAATATCATGGAGTCTGAAAAGGGATATTAATATTGGGATATTAATTCAACCATTATAATATATTATAATATCTAATGGGATTTCAAACATGGGGAGATCATGGGATGTCCCCAATGGCCCATGATCCGTATTCGTATGCAACCCCAATATTGAACCGTTATCAATGGTGATTAAAAAAAAACAAATGGTAGTATAAAAACAGGTGAAGAAAAACTGGGTCAGAAATATTCAAACATGGTTAATAAACTGGGTTAGTTCATGATAATAACTGGGATAAAACAGGTGATAAGTCAACATGAATTATCATGAAATAATCCACCCATAGGGTTTCCCCGAGCAAAATTTGGGGCGAATCTCAAGCGTCACCATTCTGCGGGTCACCATTCATGGTGGATATGGAAAACCATGGGTTCCATCTGTGCACACATTTTTTGGGGACAGGAAACTTGAGAAGTCACCATTAATCCTGCGGATTTTAACAAACTGAGAATGGATTGAAGTGAAATCTCAAGGAAACCATGTTTTTTTTTCCGTCTGACCTTCAAATATCGTTGTTCCCCACCTGCCAGGTGAGGGTTGTTAGATTTTATGTCAGTTGCCTCCTCCTGCCTCGTCCTCCTCCTCCTCCTCCTCCTCCTCTCCTCCTCTCCTCCTCCTCTCGTTGTCCTCCTCCTCTCGTTGTCCTCCTCGTCCTCCTGCTCAACTGCGACTCGCGATCCACAGTGTTCGCTGCCGGACCTCAACCACGACCATCCACGCCCAGTGTTCCCTGCCGGACCTCAACCACGACCATCCACGCCCAGTGTTCCCTGCCGGACCTCAACCACGACCATCCACGCCCAGTGTTCCCTGCCGGACCTCAACCACGACCATCCACGCCCAGTGTTCCCTGCCGGACCTCAACCGCGAGTATCCACGCCAAGTGTTCCCTGCCGGACCTCATATAGGAAGATAAAATGTCAGATAGAGTGCCAGAAGATTTGCCAGGTAGAATGCCAGAAAATATGCCAGAAGATATGCCAGATAGATATGCCAGAAGATAAGATATGCCAGATAGAATGCCAGATAGAATGCCAGATAGAATGCCAGAAGATATGTCAGAATATATGCCAGAAGATATGCCAGATAGAATGCCAGAAGATATGTCAGATAGAATGCCAGAAGATATGCCAGAAAGAATGCCAGAAGATTTGCCAGATAGATAGAATGCCAGAAGATATGCCAGAAGATATGCCAGATAGAATGCCAAATAGAATGTCAGAAGATATGTCAGATAGAATGCCAGAAGATGTGCCAGTAAGAACATGTATAAATGTCATGGTGGGGATCACACGAAGTAAAGTAATTTTTTGTTTAACCATCGGGAAACCATAGGGACACCATATGGAAACCATAGGGAAACCATATGGAAAACCATGGGGAAACCAGTGTTCTCATCATCCACTTGGACATGGCAACTCTGAAATGAAACCTGGGGTGCATCCCAAGCCACGGGAAATGAATGGAACGCTTTCCAGTGGCTTAGAATATGTTAGAAAGTTATGATGTTAGAATATGTTAGTTATATCCCTAAATCTATCCCTAATCACTACACAATATATATATAATATGAGATGTTAGAATATGTTAGTTATATACCGTTTTTTAGAACCAGATTCTAACATAGCAGTCTCATCCAGTTCCTACAACTTTCATGGAACGTCCTGCGAAATTTACAGCCAATCGACCTGAGCCGACATCCAGCACCGTCTTGCCGGCGAACAAGGCCTAAATCAGGGGGAAATGGGATATTTGTTCATAGGATATCTCAATTAATTTACAAAATCATCTATAGGTTTTGTACTATAGGTGATATGGATTGATATTCCATTTTATATATTATATACTGTATTGTTTCCATCACAAGAGTAGCGGAAACTATGGAACACTGGTTTTGGATGGTGAATCACCGATGTTTCAAGGGGGAGAACGGTGGAACAGGGTGCCAGGGTGCCAGGAGTAGCGCTGGTGGTTTCACCTAACTGTTTTTGTCAGGATGCCAGCATGATACATCCTTAGTCAGCTGGTTGGTGGTTGAGCCACCTCTCTGAACAAAATATGAGTTCGTCAGTTGGGATTATTATTCCCAACTGAATGGAAAAAAATGTTCCAAACCACCAACCAGTCAGCTGTATCTTAAAGATCTTAAAGCATCTTAAAGCTATAGACCCATGGACCCATATGGGGTTTCCTGAAATGGGGGCACCCCCCAATCATCCAAGTCACTAGCCTATTTTAGTATTGAAACCCCTGGTGTTGGGGATTCACCATTTTAGGAAACCACCATGTATGGATTGAACCATTACCTAGTTTACACAGGAGTCAACTGTAGAACTGGTTCTGAAGTGTGACAAAACTTGCTGCATCTGCCAGGGCCCCAGGGTCTTTCATTTCGTTCCATTCTCCCCCTTCCAACAGCGGTGAGTCACTTCCAAGATGTGGATCAAAATATGGATCAAAACCCCAGAAATGTTCAACACCATTAACGAAAAACGAGGCTATTCATGCTTTTTGAATATCTAATTGGTGGTTTCAACCCCCCTGAAAAATATTAGTCAGATTGGATCATCATCCCAACTATTGGGGAAAATAAAAAATGTTCCAAACCACCAACCGGAATCTATGAGGCTTAACTGCGATGCTGGTTGCGTGAACATTTCAACTTGGCCTGAACCTCCACCAATTTGCCAATGCTGTTGAATGGAGAAGTGGTGCCATGGACTTCCTCGCTCCAGTAGATGACACCGGCGACCACTTGGTTGGACAGAATCTTTTCGTAGACCAAGCAAGCCTTCTGGATCACAGTCTCATCCGAGCGAGGCTCATCATCATCCGCTGTATCCGGCATGGATTCAGCATAGAGCTTTGCCACTTCTGAATTGGAAAGAGACTTGTTCAAGAGGCTTTCTTTCCGCTTCCGAAAAAGCCAGATATCCTGGCAGATCTGGGAAGCTAGGTGCACCACAGTCTTTGCAATGTCAGCGGTGCGTCTTCGACTATTGACACTGTGGAAGTACCTGGCATCCCAGGAATCACATTTGATGAATCTGCCAGATGTGCTCAGGAGGATTGCCTTCCACTGATCCAGCTCTGTGAAGCGGCCCCCCTAGATGGTTCCTGGCCACTGAAGCGTTAAAACTGAAGGAACAAAATGTGAACGGCAAACCTTTGCAATCAAACATCTCTTATTGGGACATGTCATACCCATCAAAATGGTCCATCCCTTCATTATTCATTTTTCACCCAAGGAATGACCCATGTTTGATGATTGATGATTCTGATTGATGACTCCAAGGCTTTGTCATCAATCACATATCATCATCATACCCATATCCACATATATATATATATACTACATATATATACTATATATATATATTTACTATATATATATGTACTATATCTATACTATATATATAGTATATATATATATAGTATATATATATGTACTATATCTATACTATATATATATATAGTATATATATATACTATATATGTATATGTACTATATATATACTATATATACACAATATATATACTATATATATACTATATATATATACTATATATATATATATACTATATATATACTATAAATATATACTATATATATATACTATATATATATATACTATATATATACACTATATATACTATATATATACTATATATATATATATACTATATATATATACTCTATATATATACTATGTATATATATACTATATATATACTATATATATATATACTATATATATATATACTATATATATATATACACTACATATACACTATATATATACTATATATACATATACTATATATATACTATATATAATCATATGATTATATATAATGTCAAGTTAGGATTAATAATCCCCGCGGTGTTCATCAACCCCCTCTGCCCCCAAAAAAATGTAATTTAAAAAAAAAGGTGGTCCCCCAGGATTAATAAACCATTTGGCTGGGACATGATTAGAGGCCGCGTTCGAAACCATTTTTTAAAGGGGAGGGGGGGGGCAAGCGATTATTATTACATGTTTTTTTCTTTGGGGGGGGGCGGGAGATAACCTAGTGCTTCCAGAGAAGGGAAGCGGCGACACAACGCTGGGAGTGCGGGGGAAGGGGGGGGGGGGGGCAATTGATTATTTTTACTTTTTTTTTCTTTGGGGGGAGGGGGGCGGGAGATAATCATTACTTCATGGAACAGCTGGAAAGGAGCCACACCAACGCTGGAGGGAAGGAAAGGGGGGAAGGGCAATCGATTATTATTACTTTTTTTTTCTTTGGGGGGGGGCGGGAGATAATCATTACTTCTTGCAGCAGCTGGAAAGACGCCACACCAACGCTGGGAGGGAGGGAAAGGGGGGGAGGGCAATCGATTATTATTACTTGTTTTTTTCTCGGGGGGGGCAATCGATTATTATTAATCCCTTCCTCCTAATACTAAACGTCCCCCTAATACTAAAAACAGGCATCCATCTCCAATTTCCGAAAATTTCAGTTTGGCCAATTTGACTTTTAATTGATCCCCTTTAAAAAACAATTCAAAAATCAACCTACCATTTGTGGGTTCTCCCCCCTAATACTAAAAACTAATTCATCCCGGGGTGTTTAGTATTAGGGGGGTTAGTTTTTAGTATTAAGGGTTTTAATTTAGTATTAGGGGTAAGCTTCGAACTGCCATTTTTGGCAATATTTTAATTGCGTTATATAAGGAAATTTAATTGATTTTGAGATCGGAAAAAATAGTTTTTAGCATTAAGGGTTTTTATTTAGTATTAGGGGTAAGCTTCGAACTGCCATTTTTGGCAATATTTTAATTGCGTTATATAAGGAAATTTAATTGATTTTGAGATCGGAAAAAATAGTTTTTAGTATTAAGGGTTTTTATTTAGTATTAGGGGTAAGCTTCGAACTGCCATTTTTGGCAATATTTTAATTGCGTTATATAAAGAAATTTAATTGATATTGAGATCGGAAAAAATAGTTTTTAGTATTAAGGGTTTTAATTTAGTATTAGGGGTAAGCTTCGAACTGCCATTTTTGGCAATATTTTAATTGCGTTATATAAAGAAATTTCATTGATTTTGAGATCGGAAAACATAGTTTTTAGTATTAAGGGTTTTAATTTAGTATTAGGGGTAAGCTTCGAACTGCCATTTTTGGCAATATTTTAATTGCGTTATATAAGGAAATTTAATTAATTAATTAACATGACTTCGATTTGGTTCCCTAATAATAAATACCCCCCTAATACTAAAAACTACCTGCCGTGTTTTGTATTAGGGGGGGGGGGTTTAGTATTAGGAGGAAGGGATTACTTTTTTTTTGTTTGGGGGGGGTGCCGGAGATAATCATTACTTCTTGCAACAGCTGGAAAGGAGCCACACCAACGCTGGGAGGCAGGGAAAGGGGGGGAGGGCAATCGATTATTATTACTTTTTTTTTCTCGGGGGGGGGCGCGAGGGACGATTCACTGGCAGAAAAGGCGCCCAGAAACACATTTAGTAGCCGCAGAAAACGAATTTCAATACACGAAAAAACTGCCGTAGACAAAATTAGTGACAGAACAAGCTCCCGGAAACGACTTGAGAGGCAAAAATAGCTCCCGGAACCGGTGACGGGGGCCGGGGGGTGTTGAATTATTATTACTTTTTTTCTTCGAAGGGGGGGGGGGCGGCCAATTATTATTACTTTTTTTTTTCGCCGGGGGGGGGCGGGCAACGATTATGATTTCAAATAATAATAATTGAACAAACTCCCTCCCCCCCACGGAATCACCAACATGCGTTCGGAAGCGGACTTTAGTGGCAGAAAAAGCTCCCGGAGACTACTTTAAAGGCAGAAAAGGCCCTGGATGGCAACAAAAAGCGCCCGGAAATTTGAATTTAGTGGCAGAAAAGGCTCCCGCAACTAATTTAATGGCAGAAACAGCTCCCAGAGACTAAATTCAGAGCAAAAATAATTCCCGGAAAGGACAGGAAAGCCTCAAAAAACGAATTTCAATGACGAAAAAGCTGCCGTAAGCTAAATTAGTGGCAGAACAAGCTCCCGGAGACGAATTGAAGGCAGAAATAGCTCCCGGAACGGTTGACGGGGGCCGGGGGGTGTTGAATTATTATTACTTTTTTTCTTCGGAGGGGGGGGGGCGGCCAATTAGTATTACTTCTTTTAGTCTACGGATTTTTTTGTGAAGATATATTTAGTTCAGGGAATTTTTTTGAAGATATATTTAGTCTAGGGAAATTTTCTTGAAGATATATTTAGTCTAGGGGATTTTTTTTGAATATATATTTAATCTAGGGGATTCTTTTTGAAGATATATTTAGTCTAGGGAAATTTTTTTGAAGATATATTTAGTCTAGGGATTTTTTTTGAAGATCTATTTAGTCTAGGGGATTTTTTTTGTATATATATTTAGTCTAGGGATATTTTTTTTGAAGATATATTTAGTTTAGGGGAACTTTTTTTGAAGATATATTTAGTCTAGGTGATTTTTTTTTGGATATATTTTGATTTTGGAGCTTCAAAAGGCCCAGGGGTCCAGATTTGGCACCAAACCTTGTAAAACAAGCATTTTTTAAAAGGAAAAAGTCGATTTTTGAAGGCCCTCGAAAATTTGATTTTTTGTATGCAAGTTTTTTTTGAAGATATAATTAGTCTAGGAAATTTTTTTGAAGACATATTTAGTCTAGGGAATTTTTTTGAAGATATATTTAGTCTAGGTTTTATTTTTTGAAGATATATTTAGTCTAGGGATTTTTTTTTGAAGATATATTTAGTCTAGGGATTTTTTTTGAAGATATATTTAGTCTAGGGAAAATTTTTTTGGAGCTATATTTAGTCTAGGGGATTTTTTTTGAAGATATATTTAGTCTAGGGATTTTTTTTTGGAGCTATATTTAGTCTAGGGGATTTTTTTTGAAGATATATTTAGTTCAGGGAATTTTTTTGAAGATATATTTAGTCTAGGGAAATTTTCTTGAAGATATATTTAGTCTAGGGGATTTTTTTTGAATATATATTTAATCTAGGGGATTCTTTTTGAAGATATATTTAGTCTAGGGAAATTTTTTTGAAGATATATTTCGTCTAGGGGAATTTTTTTGAAGATATATCTAGTCTAGGGTGAGAGGCAGAAACCGGTGAGGGGAGCCGGGGGGTGTTGAATTATTATTACTTTTTTTCTTCGGAGGGGGGGGGCGGCCAATTATTATTACTTTTTTTTTCTCGGGGGGGGGGGGGGGGGCAACCAATTATTATTACTTCAAGTAATAATAATCGGGGGAAACCGGGATTTGAGCAATTATTATTACTTGAAGTAATGAGGGGAGAAGCAACTACGATTACTTGAAATAATAGTAATTGGTGGAACCCCCCCCGTCCCGTAGACCGGAGGGGGGGGGGCGGCCAATTATTATTACTTTTTTTAGTCTACGGATTTTTTTCGAATATATATTTAGTCTACGGTTTTTTTAAGTATATATTTAGTCTACGGATTTTTTTTGAATATATATATTTAGTCTACGGATTTTTTTTGAAGATATATTTAGTCTACAGATTTTGTTTTGAATATATATTTAGTCTACGGGCTTTTTTCGGAAAATATATTTAGTCTAGGGGATTTTTTTGAAGATATATTTAGTCTAGGGAATTTTTTTTGAAGATATATTTAGTCTAAGGTTTTTTTTTGAATATATATTTAGTCTACGGATTTTATCTTGAAGATATATTTAGTCTACGGATTTTGTTTTGAATCTATGTTTAGTCTAGGGATTTTTTTTTTGAAGATATATTTAGTCTAGGGGATTTTTTTGAAGATATATTTAGTCTAGGGATTGTTTTTTGTATATATATTTAGTCTACGGAGTTTTTTTGAAGATATATTTAGTCTGGAGAAATTTTTTTGAAGATATATGTAGTCTAGGGGAATTTTTTTTGCAGATATATTTAGTCTAGGGGAACTTTTTTGAAGATATATTTAGTCTAGTGGATTTTTTTTTGAATATAGATT